GATCAAATGAGTCAATGCACGTGGGAGAGGCTCAAATCCTTCATAAACGTCAGCTTTTATTACTCAAAACCCTCTCGCTCTTCCCCCCCGTCGACACCTGAGTCGTATGTGGTCGTGCCAAAGTACCTCGACCTAGTCCCCTGCTGATGGACTCGAGGTCGGTTCCAGTCTTTTATGATCGCAAATAATGCTGCCTTGAATAGCCTGTGGCTCTGTGTACCCACCCCACCCCTAAGGTATGTGACCCCCACGATAACCTTGGCTCTGGACTTTGCTTCTTGGGGCCTGCAGAATGAGAGATGTGCGGGTGAAGGGTCAGCCCTGGCCTGGCATGCGGACAGGCCGGTGGGAGGTGGGGCCAGGCCTTCCCCAAGCCAGGCGGGACAGATTCCTCCCGAGGCCCTCGGGGGAGTGAGGCGCCAAGCGGTGAGTTTCAAAAGGCTGGGGCCGGGGCCATCCAGCTCCCAGGTTCCTGGCAAATGTACTGAGGTGGGTCTGGGGAGAGGGAATCTGCACCATGCAGGTTCTGCCCATCCTCTGCAAGCCTCTTCCTCCTGGAAGCTTCCTGGGATCTGGACTCCAAATACCCTTGACTGACTCTGCACTGATTTAGTACCAGTGGTAGCCAGCTCTCTTTTCGGAGGCAAAACGCACGGTGCTTGAGAATCTCAGATGTGGAAGAAGGCTGGATTTGGTGCCTAACTTCTCAGTGCTCCCACCCACGTAACCTGCCCTTCTGTGTCCTCCTCTGTCTGGGTGGGATAATGATCATAGTGATGGCAACAACTTCTCAGGAAGGTCTTGGGAGGTCGCAGTGACGTAACACACTGTAACACTCTGAAGTGTCTGACACCATGGCAGGCGTGAGAAATACAAGCTTGTGTTAGGAATGTCTCGCTACGGGCGGGTCTGGGTCTCACCGCACTGGGCTGTGGGTGCTTGCAGGCAGAACGTCTCATCTGGAGCAGAGTCTAAAGGGAGTCCAAACTCACTGTGTGGCCTTCAGCGAGTCGTACTCCCTCTGAACTGAGTCTTCTCTCAAAAATGGAGTTCTGATGACATTATCTGGCGGATGTGTTGTGAGGATTAAGAGGCAAAGCACGCGATGTTCTGGACCTATGAATGCTCAGTACGCGGTGGCGACTGCTGACATTGTTCATCAGTAGTAAGAACAGTTGTAAAAAGCCTCCTAGAAACCGGCACAGCATTGTGCATGCAGTTGGTGCTTAGTGAATACATAAGGACTGAGTGTCAGGGTCAAGTCTGCTTGTTATAAAGTGGGGTCTGGGAGAGGCCCTGTTAGAGGGGCTCTTTTCTCATGTTGTTGACCCCTTTGGGAGAACAAAGAGCCCCATAAGACCGAACCTGCATTTATGACATCTGCTCTACATAACTCTGTGAGCTGAGGCATCAGGCATCATCACCCCCATTTTACAAATAAGAAATCCAGGGCCCAGAGAAAGGGGAGCTTCACCGGCCCCCCACGGCATGCACACAGCAGTACTCACTTGTCCTGACTCTGTGCAGTGGTCTTCACCCTGACCCTCCGCCCCGTGCAGGAAATGGACCTTCGGGGCAAGATACAGTGTCCCTCTGCGGCCAGGGCCCTTACACATTTCTGACATTTTTGTGTCCTAGGACAAAGGGTGAACAAACTCACATGAACTGTTCTTGTTTCCTGGTAGAAAAACACTCCTGACCCAGGGTGGGGGAGCTTTGCTGTTGGACTACACGGCGATGTGTGGTTTTGCTTCTATTCTGGCCCTCTCTGCCCTACCCTAACGACTCAGCAGCAGCGATCGTAGCAAATCCAGATCGTGAAAATCCAGGGGTAAACTTAGGAATTGTTTGTGGGTGCTGAATGGGCCAGATGGCTCCCTGGACCAGGGGTGCTGGCCCCGGGGGCCGGCCTCGGCTGCCGCTGTCCTTGCCCTGAGCGGGTGAACAAATGAATAAGCAGATATTTGCTGCCTTCACATGGCCTTCTTCCTCCTCTAAGGACACCAGTCATTGGATTTAGGGCCACCCCAATCCAGTGTGACCTCATCTTAACTAGTTCTGTCCGTAAAGACTCTATTTCCAAGGAAGGTCATATTCCGAGTCTCTGGGTAGACGTGAACTTTGGGGGCCCACCGCACCTAGGAAACAGTAGCTATTCCTGCCACATCTCTTACCGCAGACTTTGCGTAGCACCAACGATGTGCCGGGGACTCTTCTGTGCTCTTTTCTTTCCTCCCCTGCTGAGCCCTCTCTACAACCTTGTGAAGCAAGTTCTAGGATCATCTCTGTTTGAGGCCAGAGAGGTGAGCTGACTTGCGTAAGGTCACACAGCTGGTAAATAGCACATCTGGGAGCAAGCCTTTTCTCTCTGACTCCAAAGCCAGCAAGGTTTTGAGACCCTCCAATCCCATTCCAAGGGCTTGGAGTCATCGTACTTTCTTTCCCAGAATCCCAGCCATGTGAGCTATGCTGTCTCCTGGCCCACACCTCCCTCCACTCTCTCCAGACACATCTCCCCCAAAGAGGCTATAAAAAGGCGGGGAGGGGTTGCGGGGGAGCTGGACCTTGTTTTCACAATGGCAAACACCAAGTTGTGTTCTGCCTGGGGTCGCTGGTGCCCGGCTCTCCTGCTGGCAGGAAGCTTGCGACCCTCATGTGCGTAAGAGCATACCAGACGCATACATTTCATCCTTGACATCTGGTAACATTTTAGGAGTCTTGACTTGGGCTTACAAATTGAAAAATGGTCCATTAAGGTGTGATTTATTCGTCATCGAGACAATGCTATTGAATGCTCGCAAAGTGATTCACTCTGTCGGGTCCACAAACCCCGACTCCTTGGGCCAGGCCTGGCGAAGGCCTTTGCAGGCAGGATGAAGCTGTTTCTCTGACAGCTAGGGGTGAGCAGGGGCCTGGTGGGGCCGGAATGGGGCCTGACAGAGACAAATGAGTGTGCTGCCAGATGATGTATGGCAGTTTACCTTTTAACACGCCTGTGTCGCGGCCATGGAAATAACTTGTTTTGGCTAATGGGAGACGTGTGCAATCAGGAGTCTCTCAAAGCCACGAGCACAGAACCATGAGGAAGGATTCTAATTTCCAACAACTGGGGCTTTGGGGCCAGGAAATAGCTGCTCTGTCAGCACAGAGAGCCAGGAGCCTTCTCCTAGCCAGTGAGCAAGTTGGAGGCCCCTGGGCAGATCAGGGGCTCCGCAAGAACAGAGCTAGCCTGCAGAACTTTGCCCCCACCCCCCCGGGGGTGGGGTGGGGATGGCAGATGTTAAGAGTTGAGAGAGTGGCTAGCAAGTGTGTAGGAGCCAGCCACATCACAGAGAGCACTGCCCCAAAGCCAGACCTGCCTGGGTTCAAATCCTGCCTCACCCACTGACCAGCCAGGCCTTAGACAGCCCCTCTGTAAAACAGGGATTATTAACAGAGCCTACCCTGGGGGTGTACGGGGATTTTCTGAGCTAGTGCCACAGAGAGAGTTCTCAAGAATGCTAATCATTGTTATCATGATGATACGGCAGGGCGGGCATGGCGTTGCTGGGGTACAGAGAAGAGCCAATCAGGACAAGAGAGAAGCAGCGCTGTGCCTTCTGGCTGTGGGTCTAGGGGCAGGCTCCTAACTTGCTGCATGCACACGGTGCAAGGAGGTTTCTCCCAGTCCTTAACGCTCAGGGCAATTGGGAGACCAGTGCCAATGTTGGCTGTCACCCAGCTTGGCTAGCCCGTGTGCCCAGAATCCAAGAAGTGAGATTAGCTTGAGTGGGGAGGACCCAGGAGGAGGGCTGGGGTTACCACGAGCCACCACCTGCTACAGGTGGGCTGCCCATGGCCTGGCAACCAGTGTGCATGCCTGTGGACATCAAGGGTCTGATTCAGTCCCCAGCTCAGCAGTGAAAAGAGGACAGACAATGGCCATGTGGTCCCTGTGCCCCTTCTGCCCAAGTGGCTCCAACCCCAAATGAGATGGGGGATGGATGTGCACATCTCTGGGTCCTTAAAACTGAGGTGGTAGTTAAGAGGTGGGCAGCACAGTGGGTCCAGCTCAGGTCTGGGGATCCCACATCTGCAGGGCAAAGCTCTGCAGGCTTGCTTGGACATGCATCCAAGTCAAAAGTCTGTTCTGACTTGGAATCAGGCATCTGTTACCATGTGAAGGCTGAAGCCTGACCCCTCCCCTCTATCCCTATCTCCCCCAGGACTGACTGCCCAGGAGCACTGGCCAGCTCCTGGTACTCACGCCAGCTGGCTGTGGCTCTCCCACGAGGGTCAGTTTCTAGAGCTATCAGATGCTGTGGCTGCCGGCTTGTTTGTCTCCATGGCACCAAGCCTGGCCAGCTTTTGGACAACAGCAGCCCCATGGGGAACCTAATCCATGAAGAAGGGATGGCAGAACCCAGTGTAGGGATGGCAGGGTGGAGGGCAAAGGATGCTGGGCGCCCTGACCACAGGTAGCTCTGAGCATTGGTCTTTTAATTTTTAAGTAACTTCTATACCCAATGTGGGGCCTGAACTTACAACCCCGAGATCAAGAGTTGCATGGTCCATGGACTGAGCCAGCCAGGTACCCCTGAGCAATGGTCCTTTAGAACCCCAGGAGAAACTCACTGGGACAAAGTAAGGGTAGAAGTGGGGCTTCGCTTTGGTGAGGGATCTTCCTGGGGGTTCCGGCTGGGCACTTGGCCTTGTGGCGGCTACCCAGGGAGGACTCTCTGCAGCCTCACTTTGCTCTACCCCTCGGGCTTCATTTCCTGATTCTGTAATCTTACTGCTCCAGCCAGTTGTCCCATTCATTCATTTGTTCATTCTCTTGGTCCTCACAATGAACCCAGAAAGTGGGGGCGCAATTATTATGTCTCTTTCTAGATCAAGGAACACACAAAGTAGCTGGGTCGGGGCACAGAGCTAACGAGAGGCTGGATTAGTTAACCACGGCTGCATGACACATGTCCCCACAACTCAGTACCTTAAACAACACATGTCTATGATCTTACAGTTTCCGCAGGTCAGGTTGCAGGCGCGGCGGCCGGGTCCTCTGCTTCCGGCTCTGTCACTGGCGTGTCAAGGTGTCCGTGGGGCTCTACGCGTCTCAAGGTTCAGGAGCAGGATCCGCTTCTCGGTTTGCTCAGTGCTGTGGGCAGGATTCACGTCTCGGGGTGGTGGCCCTCCGATCCCAGCCACGGGGCCCTCTCCTGCATGGCAGGTCGCCTCTGCAAAGTCAGCCAGCCAGGAAGGTGCATGCGTGCGGGGGCATGTGCGCATGCGCGGGCGCGTGTGCGTGTGCGTGCCCGTATGTGCGTGTGTGTGCGCGTGCGCGCAGGTGCCTAGTGTGCGGGTGTGCATGCGTGCAGGTGCATGCGTGCAGGTGCGTGCGGATGCGGTTGAGTCACCGGTGGTGGAGGCGGCATCATATCACTTTTGCCACTTTCTCTCCATGAAAGCCAGTCAGTGGGTCCTGAAGAGGAGAGCGAAGGCCGGGCGGTGGGACCCCTGTCTGCCCCCCTCCCCGAAGGAAGCCGGGAAGAGTTCCTCCTCCTCCCCAGTCCCAGACACGCGCCGCCTGTCTGCCACCGCTCAGTCAGGGTTGAATGGTGCCCTCACTTTTTCAGGGGGTGTTTGTGGAGGACCTAGTGCATTTCGGACAGGTGCGGTTCCGCCCCCAGCAGCTACGTGCTGGTGACAGACCTTGAGGCTGCATCTTTATCCATAGCATCACGTGCCTCTGCAGAAAAAGAAATGTCTTTTCGTTATTTCCTGTAACTGAGCTGAGATTTCTCACAAACCCTAGTCCCAGGGCAACAAGGAAGAACACTAGATTTAGTCTAATCTGGTCAATTTAATCTGACCCAGTACTTTAGGTCTAAGGGTAATGTCTTTAGGTAATGGTCGGTCTCAGATTTCCTTCTGCTCCATCCTCAGCCCCCTCCAAGGTGGCATGGGGTCTGGAGCCTTGGAGGCTTCCTGGTGGAGGGGGTCGGGGATTCTAGCCACGTCTGTTGTCCGGGATCACTACAAGCCTCTCTGGCACTTGGGGCTGAAGCTGGCGGCTGGAAGAACACATGCTCTGGGCCCAGAGCCCTGCCTGGCTGACTTGTCTCTTCCCTGGCTCAGAGCCCTTGCCTCCACTGCATCTGGACCCTGCTGGGGCTGTCCACCATCCTAACACAGTGTCCCCTCTATGAAAAGGGACATTCTGGGTCCCATCCCAGCCATGGGAGGACCCCGTGTAGTCAGGGAAAGCACAACATTGGGGAAGGCTTCCTTCCTTTCAACCTGGGGCATTTGCATGGTCCCCCCAACTTAAAATGATGGGCAGTGGTCTCAATGTAGCTTCCCCTTTGAGTCCCCAGAGGGTCAGTGCAAATCCCTGCCTTAGGAGCTGGTTCTACTTGTATTAAACAAATAAACAAACTATAATATAAATAAATAATAAAGTAAAATAGAAGTAGCTGATACTTAGATTGCCTGTAAATACCAGAATTTACACTAAGCACTTCACACGCTAACTCATTAAACATTCATAGCAACTCTGTGAGGAAGTACTCTGAGTCCCATTTTACAGATGAGGAGACTGAGGCACAGAGATGTGAAATAATAATATGCTCCCGGTCAGAGAGTTCTTAAGTGGCAGAGCTGGAATTTGAACCCAGGTAACCCTGCATCCCTACCCTGCATCACCACCCTCCTCTATGTCCCTGTGCTCTCTGGGCTGAAGCCAAGAGAGGGGCAGGAGGATGTCCTCCCTTCTTCTATGCATGCTCTCCTTCTGCCCTAGACAGCAAGCCTGGGGGCATGGGTGAAGGGAGACCTCTATTTTCTTGGGAAAGTACTACACCTTTGCTATGTTCATTGGTACCTAAAGGGCTTAAAAAGAAATGTTTTCTCACAGTGGTGGCTTTTAAGTCTACTGTCTTGTGGCAAAATCTGTTTTGATTATGAGGAACTGAATATTGCCACAGTCCTGCTCTTTGTTTCTCTGTATGAATGTGCATGATCCTCAGGCAGATGGATATCTGAGGACCAAGGGGAAGGGCTGTTTACCCAGAGAGGCATAGAGGGAAGCAGTCATATTCTTCACACTATTACTTGTTACAGAAATTATCACACACTCAATTAGAGTCGTGGTAAATGTGCTGAAGGAGAAACATTCAGAGCAGTGAGTATATAACAATTGCCTTCATCTGTTCAGGTGCTGTGACAAAGTACTACGGACTCGGTGGTCAGAGCCTCTGTCACAGCTCAGTCCCTGTCGGCAAACTCTGGGACCTGGGCAGAGGGCCAGCCTCAGATTCCCCACCTGGGGAAGAATGAACCATCCCTCACCTCCGAAAGGATGAAGCAGATAGATCTCCAGAGGGTGACCAGACATGCTGACGAGACATGCTGTCAGGACACCCCAGGGCCGAGTGATGCAGACGTTCTGAGATTGCTCGCTCTCAATCTCTCTCTCGCCTCCATCCTCCTTCATTCCTGCCCCGGTCTAAGCCGATCTAAATGAGAAAACCACAAATACTAATACTGTAACTACCACGGACTATGTCAGGCTGTGCAAGCATTAGAATATCCAATTCTCAGAAGCGACCCAACACAGTGGGTGGTATTATCATTCACAATTTAGGGAAAGCTGAGGCTCAGAGAGGTGAAGCAACTTGTCCACGATGACACAGTGAGAATGTGGCAGCCTAGGTTTTGTCCCCAGGTCTATCTGACATCAAAGCCTTCACTAGGCTTCCATTGCTGCTGTGCCTTTCAGGTTCCTAAACCGGGGGGGGGGAGGGGGGGGCGGGCAGAAAAGAATTTGCCCCAGAAAAAAAATTTCAAGAGCCAGACTCTAGAAACGCTTGTTAGTTCCCTGTCGTGGTCCCTGCCTTCCCCTCACTGTGGAGGAGCCAGGCCAGGAAGCTGAGCTGCGTGAGGATATGTGAAAACTTGCAGCAGAAAGTTATTCTGAAATGTTCTAGAACAGGCAGGGAGGTTTCCTCTGGGGACAAGGTGGAGAGGTTCCAGTCAGGAGACGGGGTGGGGCGGAGGGATGTTAATGTTGCTAGTTGATGGTTAATGTTCTCTCCCGAGGGTATTTATGATTTATGCCCAGGTTTTTAAACAAAATTCAACCAAGTTAGATTCAGTGTCCCAGGAAGCTAAGGAGAAAGCATTCAGGCAAATGATGTTTGAGGGGGATGAAAAGATATTCCAGACAACTTGCCCCCTTTTAGACTCTACTTGTCCCAAGCAGAGCCTGTCTTATCACAGGGACCCTTTGCAGGTGTTTCCCAGGTCTCTGCATGTGAAGAAACTGGCATCTTTTCTCTGCATTCTAGGCCTCTTGCCTTGGCTGTATCAAACGGGATCAAAAACAAAGCCCCAAATGTTCTCATTGTCACATTAGCCAAACCCTTTTTTGGTCCTCATTTTGGGGCCTGACTGGGAAGAAGAAAGAATCTGTGCGTTAGGACTCTGTGAGTTATAAGTGACAAAAGCCCGATTCATACTGTGTAAGCAAAACAGAGAATGCATTGGCTCCTATAACTTAAAAATCTAGAATTAGATTTAGTGTCAGGTATGGCTGGATCCAGTGGGGTGGGTGGGAGTAGGGGATCATAAGGCTGATTTTCAGTGACCTGACCTGGTGGAGATCCCCGTGGCCGAACCCATCATGGTGGCCATAAGGATGTGGGAATCTGAATGGGCCTCCATGGTGGGCACTGAAAAGGGGTAAGGGAGCATTCACCATGAGAAGCCTGTGGTGCTGTTAGAATAAAGGTCAAATCAACAGAGAGATCTTCTTAAGTTTTGTGTGATCCTATGAGACCTTATGACTCTGAGCCATTTCAAGCTTTGAGGAACCTTACAGAGCACCTGGGTTGGGGGGGCAACTATGTGACTCCAAATATACCATCCTTCCGATCCTTCAGTTCATGGAAGACATTGCTAATCGACCCCAACACCGTTTCCTAGTGAGCCCGAATACAACCTCAGAATCCATCTCAACACTACACCAGAAGCAACCTGTGTCCATCAGTTGGTGTTAGAACATGAGCCAAGACCGATCTGCAGTTTGCCTTCTCAGCCCATGGAGATAAGAAAACAGAAGGTCTGAGGGTTGGTTCGCCCAGTGTCGTGTGGGAACTCAGTGACCAGCCCTCCTTATGCTTGGGCAGCCTCCTTTCCTGTGGCATTCTCCTGATTCTAGCATAGAGAGGAGCTCTGTCCCTTAGTGGAGATTTCCACTCCAGACAGCTGCGGCACATGGAAAACAAACAGACTTGAGGTCAGAGGAAAGGCAGAGAGCTTAGCTGCTGACCTGTCTCACTGAGCGCTGTCTGGAGCTGAGGGCAGCACCGGGGGGCAGCGAGGCAGGGCGAGGTGCGGGGAACCCACCGGTCCATCCACAGACATCTAAGTGGGCTTTTGAAGGCCCTACCTTAAATGCAATAAACCCGGGTAACGCGCTCTACTAGGCTCACATTCTCAAATGGGGGTGATGCTGAAGTTACTCCCTTCTGGGGATGGGAGTGGGGTTGCCTTGGAGGGGAGGACACATATTTGGCAACCAGTCTAGGAAAGCCAGAAAGTAGAGAGAAAGCCCTGACCTAACTATTACTTGCCCAGCTCTGCCGCACCCAATCAGAGGAAGAACAGAGGTGCCCCGAACCCGCTTATGATTTGACTGGAGGAAGGTAAGCAGAGTCCTGACCCTGAGGAGCCTATTGTGACATATATAATACATGGACTTAATGATTGTAGTGGGCTGACCTGGGGGTCACGGTGCGCCTCTCGCAGAGCCAAGAGCTTTGCATCAATTAATTCAAATCCACACGACAATCCTACAAAGTAGGTGGAGTTATTCCCCAGGAACAGACGTCGAACTGGAGGCTTGGAGGGAGGGAATACAGCTACCCATGGCCACGCTTGAGTAAGGGCAGAGCCGGGCTTGAGGTCAGGTCTGCCTGAGCCCTGTTCGGACGAGCTGCCCTCCATGGGCAAGCAGCCATCGTGAAAAGGAACAGAACAGAGTATGTGAGTCATTGGCGCACCATTAAGCACATCGTTCCCCACAGCAGCTTCGTGCAAGGTGCTGGGTGGAAACAGAGAAGCACGTGGGATCCGTGCCCTCGGATCATTCCCAGAAAGGATGGGGTGTGCACTTGGGAGAATGTCACCATGGAGGTTGAGTAGCAGAAATAAATGCCTGTCATGACTCCCTCTGTTGAGCTCATGGCCCACAGCCAGGTGC